TTGGTACATTCTCAAACGTTTCGCCGGCATCGTAGTCGGCATCATCAGTCCGTTTTGCCATTCTCCGCGCCAAGCTACGAACTCGTCATAGAGACAAGTGAAGTCAATCCCTTGTGAGAATGTATCGAGTCCACTGTCAGATGCTGGGAATCATGACGACTACTATGGCAGACGACTTCGGACTAGGTGCGTTCTACATAGTCTCCCTGAGAACAAGACCAATTTGCCACAACCCACTTTTACTAATTCTGTCAACAATTCATTTGCCCTGGTGACCTTTTGAATGCTTTTCCCACGTTCAACTGTCTCAAATTTGTATTTTGAGTAATATGATGAGTAGGAGCATGATGGCATGCCAACTGAGATCATCGTATTCAGCTGAGTCCACTGTACCTATTTCAAGGTATTTGTTTTTAGTAGTACTTTGAGTAGAAATTATATTTCGATTGCTATCCTCACATTGAGCTGCGTTTATTACAACCATTTTATGTTTTTTTTTATTTGGAGGGTTGGTCTTCTTCAACCAGCCCGTAGTCACACCAACTTTCAAGTATTTCTCATAAGTTCTCCACTCTGAGTTCGCGAGCAAAGTATCATATGACCAAAGATGTTAACTAGAAGAGGACACGGTGGCTTCCCTTTTAACGCGACACAACACATTTTCACAACCTACATCTGCCGTTTCTCCTCCTCGGTCTACACAACCACAGGCTTACTTTCAAGACCCTCACAAGGTCAAGAAAACACTTTCTTGTTAATAATCCATTTGCGCATACAAGCATTCAGTCCGTTAATGCAAAAATGGGATCCGAATCCACGCCCACAGTAACTTGCCGGAGACTTGTATGTGACAGCAAGAACGTAGAAGTAGATGAGTGGCAAGCAGAGGTTAACTGACATCTTCACCTTGTGGGCCTTTTGAAAGTAAACCTGGTGGACTACAAGGTAGGAGTAACTAATTGCTGGTTGAACTAAACCAATGATCAAAATCTGGGAAAAGATGATCAGAAAAACAATTTGAAATAATTCTAATAAGCATACTGGACGTGGGGGGGGGGCCATAAAAATGTTAAAAGTATTTAAAATACTAGTAAAGAATAAATATTGATATACTCGTAGTAAGAACATCTGTAAGTAGAGATAGCAATCGAAATGCCAACACTACTTAATGCACTACTCAAGGCAAAAAATGTAAGTAATTGTATCTAGCACTACTGAACGTGCGGATGACATTCGAAATATAGAACACTACTTAATCACTACTCACAAAATAATATTTGAAGAGTTTATAGTGAACACAGCCGAACCTGGGCCTAGCAATTAAAATGCCAACACTACTCCAGCATCACACTGTTGATCGAGCAAATTTTAGGCTTTTTATAATCGTCCTCAGTGAGGTTATTATACCCTTGCTCTCATATGTTCACGGCTGGTTATGTGAATAATCCATCAGATAGGAAGATTCTCTGCACGAGACCGAATTGATGCAGTTAGTCAGTTGAATAAGATTGAGCTTAGATAAGAACTATGTACACCCCATTTCGTTTTTCAAGTTGTGAAAGATGGGTAGTTGAACTTTCCCACAATTATATTAATAGGCCTCACGTTTCTATTGGATTTTGCATTGAACGTGTTGAGACTATACACCGAATTACCACAACCCGTTAGGGTTTTTGATGGGACTAGGTCGGACGAGGTCGAACCTGCTGTTCACTCCAGCCGGTATGGGAACAACTTTTGGGAAGCAGGGCTGTGTGAAACGCAACGTGAACGGGAGGCATACTCATATGATTGTGGAAAAATGCCACTACCAGCCCTTCATCATTTTAACAACGGAATAGGGTGAGCACAGTCCTTTTCAATGTCTTCTGGTAATCTCGAAAGCCAACGTAAAAAAGAAAATAAAAGTGAAATTGTCGAGGGCATAGAGCGACAAATTGACAGAAGTTAGCTAAATGGGATCGAAGCGTGAAAGGACTGATCCGGATCAAGATCCCAGAAGGGGGGGATTGGAGACCCGAAATGAAAAAGAAGATAAACACCTTTAGGTTATCGGAGCAAGTGATACTGCAAATTGGAGTATAAAGGGGATCCAATGAAAGAAACTGGGCGTGAGGACTGAAAATACAAAACATTGAGGAAGCGAATCTATCCAAACAAAAGGGGGGCAAGAGGAATACCACAACTGTTCTACAGAATCTTAGTCAAGAGGCTTTCCTTCAAAACGGTGCGGAGGAGGCAATGCGGGGCCGAGTTTTCGAAGTCCCTTTAAAAACAAAGTTACGAAAAAGACGTCAAACAAATTCTATTTTTCGTATATAAGTAGAGTTTCGAGGCAATCAGTAAATCAGTAGTATGAGATGTCTTCACCTAATTTCGTTTAAGGTGATGAAGGACTGGCAGTAGAATTTTCCCACAATGATGTGAGTAGAGCTGACGTTTTCATTGAATTTCACAGAAGCTTGCTTTCCAAAAAGTTGTTTCCATCCAGGCACCAGTGGACTGCAGTTTCGACCTTGCCTCGTCTACGTCTTATCAACACCCCCCCAGCGCCAGTCGAACCATGACGGTGCAGCAGGTCAGTTGAATGTCTACTTTAACCGGTCCAACGGCGAGTCATGGGAGGCTTGAGTTGGGCAAAAAGTTGGAGGTATTTGGGGGTTTGATAAGACCTATGCAAGATGGAAACTGCAGTCCACTCCAGCCGGGATGAGAACAACTTTGGGGAAAGCAAGGCTATGGGAAATTCAATGGAAACGCCAAATAAACTTTAACAAAATTCTTCTTTATGGCCCCAAATTAACTTCTTTGTGAATGGATCAACTAGTTATCTTGACTTCGGTTCAAGCTCAGATGCTGCATTTAAAGTTACAGCGCATACAAAAACTCATCATGTGTTTCCCGAGGCCAATGGATGGCAACAGTTGGAAGGTGCCAGTCAACTCGAAGAGATATAA